CGGATCAAGATACCTCCTTTCCTCGCCAGCCCAAGTACTAGCCCATTGCTCACCGATAGGAACGATAGACAAACTGCAGCATACTGGGAGAATATGTCTGAGACAAGACTGCGAGGCAAGTCTTTGTTCTTGGTTTGGATCCTGGACAGATCCAATTTTCTATCTGCAATGTCATGGACAACGCAGAGGAATTGGAGGCTCTCCCGCCCCAGCAAGCTAATACCTTTTTTTTTTTTAAAAAAAACTGTTCCCCTGCCGGGAATTGAACCCGGATCTTCTCGGTGAAAACGAGATATAACTACCATTGTACCACAGAGGATTAATGCTTTTCCCAAGCCTAATTGAACACGCTCTTCATAAAATAAAAAGCAACAATAGTTGACACGTGACCTGAAGCAGGCAGGACTGATAGTATCAGTAGAAGCACAAAAGTATCGAGCAATTAGCTCAAACAGCCGCGCATCTGTGGTCCAGAGGTATGATTATCGCCTGCCACGCGGTAGACCCGGGTTCGATTCCCGGCGGATGCACATTCTTTTTGCCCGGTTTTCTTTTTGTTTATTTTGTAAATAAGTGCACTGGGTTCAGGAGACGCTTTATATATCTATTTTTTTTGCTTATTGCGACGCGTGCGCCACATGCAAACTACGTACACGCCCTTGTATCTGGTGCAGGCGCAAATGCGTGTCACTAGTCGCCAGTCGGCCGCCAAACTCGATTACCCGCCGAGCAAAGCGCACCACAAAGTCCGCAAACAAAACCATCGTTCCAGACGGATTGGCGACTTGGCCGTCTGCGCGAAAGGCCGCCATGGTCTCAGCCAGCAGCCAGCTAACTTCAACGAGCGATGCACCCAGCGACTCCAGGGCTGCCAAGACATCGTCGGCTTGGTCGATTCTGACGCTCACATCAAGCACGGATAGTATGCTGGTGCCGACCAAAATCGCCTTGGCCTGCGACAAGAGCTTTAGTACAAGTTTGGTAGTTGTATGTGCGGCATTTGTCAATACATGCTGGCAGTACCCATTAGTTGGTCTCTCTCACAGAAAGCGTTGCATTGCTGCCCCACTCGTGAGCTTGCCAAAACCAATCATTTTCCCCTCTATATCATCTCACCCTTTAATCTAGTTATCCAACATGAGCTTTTGCGACATCCATCAACATCAGCTAGCAGAGCGGCGGGCTATGGAGCAAGAGCTTCAGTGGCTACTCACACAGCGCATTCCAAAGGTTATCTCAAGCGTTCAGAGTAGCCTGCTTTCTATTTCGCTGCTGAGCTCTAAGCACGGGACAGGCGGGCCGACTAGCTTATCTTCAGACTCGTATATTCACCTCCATGACACAAAGACAGGCGAGGATGTGGGTGAAATAACAGTGTCGGGGGCATACGTAACCCATCTTTCGCTACTATTGCCTATTGGCGCCAACACACAGCTTACGCGGCGGACAACTACGCGCCTCAAAATGGACGAGTCATTGCCGTTGCGACAGGCACAGGAAGCGCAGAGCTACATAAAGTCGGCAGCGAAAAAGGCACAGCTAATGTCTCGGCTGGACTCGAGCTCGGCAGCATTGGATGTTGTCGAGAGTTTGTTGAGCGACATTAAGGAGGCCAAACAGATCCTTACTTCCGGGCGCCAGCAAGAGCTCATGCCGCTTCAGTCGGATGGCATAGAGAAGTTTGCGCCGGCTTTGCCTGAAAACCTCGTCATCGAGTGCAAGCTCAGGGGCAGGTCGGTTGTGGTGCACCTTTACTTTCTAAAGTTCCGGCGGGGCGTGAAGAGCGCAGGCGGGATCCTCGACGCATTCAAAAAGGACTCGACTACGGGTCATATGCTTGTCCACAATGGACGACTGGCAGAGGTAAAGCAGGAGCTGGTGTTCCAAGCATCACTAGGTAGTGTAGCTCGCGATCTGGACATACTCGACGGCGCGGCTAGCTTGCTCATCGATGTGGTGGGGCAGCTGCACGCGCTCGATTCAATGAGTTTGGGTCATTTACACTAGGAGTACTCCAGATCTGTACTATTGAAATATATCTTCCATGTCCTCGTCGTCGTCTATATTAGAATCAGAGTCCAGATCAATAGCCTCGTCGTCGGCAGCTGCATCAGGGCTGGATTCGCCGTCTACGTCAATGACCTCGGCGCTGGGCGTGTTGTTGCTGGCCATTTCCATTTCATCGGGCACGTCAACGTCAACGTCAACGGCGACAGACATTGGCGTGTTGGCATTGCTGCTCATGGCAACTCTCGCTTCCTCTCGGTTGCTCTCGTTCACTTGCTCATCGGCAACCAGGTTGTCTCCGCCATTGGCAAAAGCAGCCATTACTAAGGACAAATCATTAACACTCGCACCAACTGGAGCAGTAGAGTCCGAGTCCACAGCTATATTATCATCAAGATTCGCGTCGACATCCATCCCACCAATGCCATTCTTCTCACCTTGCACCTCCTTATCCTCAAAGTCACTAACAGACCCGCCGCTCACAACCTGTTGCAGCAAGTCGTACTGCCGCTTATACCGCGTTAAGCGTGCGCCGAGTTTGACGGCAGCTTCGGGCAGCGTCAAGTCAATGCTTTCGCCAACCAAGCACTTTACGCGAGCAGCCTCGAGCTCTTCGTGAGCCCGAGTCCGAACATCATTGAGGCGGATGAGGTACTCGTCAAATACAGACTCCAAGTGCTGCCACTCGCGCTGAAAGGCCGTGCTCTCGTCCTTCTTTGGTTTGATGTTGGCTACACTCAGTCCCTCGCGCGGCTCTGGTAATGACCGCAGAATGTCTCCAGAGTACACGATTAGTCGCGAGTAGCTGTGCAGTAGCTCCTCGGCGTACTTTAGCAGCGGCTCGGCCTGGTGTTCCATTTCACCAAATGTAAATTGAAAAATAAGTGTAAGAGGAAAATATAAATAACAATCAGACCGTGAAGGGAAAAAAGCAAAAAAAAGTTATTCCGAGTCCGAGTCCATGTCATCGTCCTCTTCGCCACCGCGCTCTAGATCAGCCTCAATCTTGCGGCGCTTGCCGGCGGTGGCGGGATTCTCGCCGGCGTCCTTGGCAAACTGGCGGCCGACCTTTTCGCGAATGGCCTGGAGGCTGTTCTCCTCCTCGGCCCAGTCGATGACCAAGTGGCGGCCGTACAAATGCGTGTCCTTCATCGTATCCAGCACATGCTGGGCTTCTTGTGGCGTGAGGAACTCGACAAAGGCAAACCCGCGATGGCCTCCCGAGAACTTGCTGGGCAAGCGCACAGACTTTGTCTGGCCAAATGCCGACACCAAGTCCCGGATGTCCTTCTTCGTGGCCTCGAACGGAATGTTCTTAACCACCAACTTGGTGCTCTTGGGCTTCTTGCCCTCGCCAACACTGCCAGTGTCAGCATTGGCTTCGGCCTTGGCCAGGCGATCAGAGATCTTGATCTCTAGCGAGTGGTCGTCGACCTCGATGCCCTGGAACGACTCGAGCGCTTGGCGGGCAGCCTCGGGCGACTTGTACTCGACAAAGCCAAAGCCCATCGACAGCCACTTGCTGGGGCGCTTGGGGTCCTTTTTGCGGCGGATAGTCACACTAGCCAGCCCGTCCACGCCCTCAAATACGCTGCGCAGCGTATCCTCCGTAGTGTCAAAGTCGAGGTTCTTGACAAACAGCACGCAGCCAGCCAGGCCTCCACCGCCACTGCCCTGTGCCGCCGCAACAGTCGTCTTGGCTGGGTCGTTTACAGGCTCGTGCATCTTGCTCATCTCGGCCCTGGCGGCCTCGCTTGCCTTGCTGTGCTCGCGGCGCGCCGCATCTGTAGCCGGATCGAATGCCGCGTCAAAAATGTCCTTTGGCGCGCGCTCCAAGTAGATCGGTGCATCCTTCAAGCGCTTGTACGCTAGGTGTCTAAAGGCAGCACGCGCCTCGCTTGCCTCTAACAGTTCGACAATGGCAATAGTCCGCGACGGCGGCAGCAGAACGCGGCCGAGGCTGCCAAATTTGCCAAAGAGCGTACGTAGTTCGTCTTCATCGACGCTATAGGGAATGTTCTTGACCAAGATAACGGTGTCGCTGCGTTCACGGTGGCTGAAGCGCTCGAGAACCACGCCTTGCTCTTCAAAGAACCGCTTGGTGTCGTTGATAATATGCGTCTCGGCCAGTGCCAGCCTCACTGCCGGATTACCACCAGAGTCGGTCGACAGAAGATCGGCCTTGGAGATGCTCAGGCGCTCGGAGATTGAGTCTGCCACGGCGTCGGCACTCATATAGAGCGAGTTCCAGTTAAAGTCACTGCCAGCCAGGGCCTTCTTTTTGGCATCGCGCTCCTTTTTGACGTCCGACTTGAATCCCGACAGCGCGTCACCTGCCTCACGCGCCTGGGGCTTTTCCTTGCCCGGCAACACATGAAGTAGCCGGCCCAAAAACACATTGTTGTCCATTGCTCTGTACGCTTTTACCGCATGTTCAGGCAGCAAGTACATCACGTACGCGAAGCCCTTGGGCCGCTTGGTGTCCTTTGAGATCGGCATGTGGACCTCGGAGAGTGGGCCAAATCTTTCAAATGCAGCACGCAGGTCTTCCTCAGTGGCCAGGTACGGGAGGTTGCGAATAAACAGCCGGCCAGTGTCCTGGATCTGAGACACTATGCTTGCCACGGCCACTGCCAGATCGGTTGAATTATTGGCTGCCTCGCCGCCATCATCAGCGGTGGTGTCAGCAGGGCCTGCCTCAATGGCTTCTGTCGACGTCTTCGCGTCAGCTTCATCAATATCGTCAATGTCGATCTTTGAGCTCATGTGCTTGCGTAGCCACTCCATATCAGACATGCTCGATCCGCTGTCCTGGCTGTCGGCAGCCGCGTCACTCTTTACGCTCGCTGTAGAAGCGGCTGCCGCGGCCTTTTTGCCAGTCGATTTGGCGCTCTTATCCGGTGTAGCGCTAGCCTCGCTCTCAAGCTGCTCTCGCCGCGCAGCAACAGCGCTGTTCACCGCAGCCAATTCGGTCGTGTGCCACTCCAAATAGTCGTCGTTAGTCCATGTTTTGTTATTTGCACGAGGCGCCATGACTTGCAGAAACTCTTTGAATCGCGGGTCGTCTTGGTTGTCCGCCAGCAGCTCCTCATACAGCGTACGAATGGCCTTTTGGCTCTTGCCCTTTTCTTCGGTACTGCGCTTCTCCTTTGCTTGCCTGACGTCTACACCATGCACTTGGTTGTACAACGTCGTGCCCTTTGTGTAGACCGACCACGCACGAGGCAAGGAGGCGTCGCCAAAGGGCTTGGCCATCTCTACAGACACTTTGGATGTGTCGATAAACGAGTTGTCAAAGTACTGCTGGGCCGC